CTGTCCTACCAATTTGGTTTGAAACTGTTTCATTGCTATTTATTTCTCAATAAAATGATGGAAAAATGAGAAAAATATTTGAAATAAATTTATTGTGAATATTTAATGTATAAACAATACTGTGCTAACACATCTTCAGAATCAAAAATAAAACTATTGAAATTTCCATGAATAAAATATGAGTTGGAAGTCAAAAAAATAATATCCTGTCCAAACAGTATTAGTAAAAGTCTTTCTTCTCATTGAATTAGGAGAAAGTAGCTGTATATCTATTCTAACTATTTTGAATATACTGATATAAAATGGTCCTTCATTTGTATCTTCTTTTTTGTTTATTTTTGTCAGAGATGGGTATTCCCTTACCATTTAAGTATTGTACTGCATGAATTCAGCAAAAATATTCCAATAGAGTCCCGTAGTCCATAATAGTAGTGGGTTATTCATAGGACTGGCAAAGTCAGAAGTTGTTGACTTGAGCTTTTTACACTCAGCATATTAATATGGCTTTACTTTTTATACCTCATTTTTATACTTTTCTGCTGGATGGTTGAGATCAAGATAAAGGAAGACGTATATAACAAGAAATGTAACTTTTGTATCTGCCAAGGTCAGTCATATCCTCTCAGGGTATATCCAGAATCCCTGTACCACAGTTTGTAGATCCTTTGTGAGTGTCAGCCATGTGGATGAGTCACAGCCTTTTTTTGACCAATTTGCTCTCTGTGAATGCCTGAGAAAATTTTTTCTCTCCATGTGACTCTCCTTAGGCACACTCTACATCATTGATCACTTTCCTCTGTGGCCCCATAATCTCTTTGATCAGAAAATTTGGGACACAACTGAGTTATGTGATGTTACAGTACAAGTTCTCCTATGTCCTGAGTCCTTGTGTGTTCATTTCATATACCCATTTTTGGAATTGGTCTTTAAATTTAGCATGTGTGAATATTTTTAGTTCTGTATATGTTATGGATATTAATCTGTTGTCTGAGGGACAACTGGCTAAAATTTTTTTTTTACTGTGTGAATTAGCTCTTCACTCTGCTAGTAATTTCTTTTGCTATGCAAAAGATGAGATCTCAGTTGTCATCTTATCCTTAATAAGATCAGATCTCAGTTGTGAATTTTTGTATTGTTGCTTATGTAAGCAGTGTTTTGTTCATGAAATATTTGCCTACATGTATGTTTTCAAGGATTCTACATATTCTCTCTTTCCTTTGATAGATTAATTAATTGGTATTTCATGTTTTTCAATGCTACTGTGAAAGGTAATGTCTCTGTAACTGCTCTTTGGGTTTGTTTTTTTGTGTACAGAAGTGCTATGGATTTTTGAGTGTTGACTTTGTAGCAAGCTACACAACTGAATTTGGTTATTTAATCTACAAGTGATATGGTGGAATTTTGAAGGTCTCCTCTCTATCATGTCATCCTTAAGTAATGATAATTTAACTTCTTTTTTTCCTATCCTTATTTCTCTTATTTCTTTCTCTTGCCTAATTGCTCTGACAAATGTTTCCAGAGCTAAATTAAACAGGAGTGCTGATAGAGGACATATTTGTCTTGATCCTGATTTAGAGTGAAACATTTTAGTGTTTACTATTTAGTATGATATTGGCTGTTGGTTTGTTACAGATAGCTTTTGTCAGATTGAGATAAAGACCATCTATTCTGATTTTCTATAGATTTTGTAAAATCATAAATGTGTGTTTGACTTTATCTCCAAATGCTCTGAAGTATATTTTAGAAATAGATAAGGATGACTATACTCCCAAGAACACCAATAGAAATAAGCCACCAGGAAAGCCATGGGATTCAACTGAGGGGAAAAATAGGGTCCTGACAACAGGAAACTCTCTGAGAGGTACAATCAAGTCAGTTATAACCATCAGTATAAATTGTGTCAATTTTCCTATCAAAAGAAACAGACTGGCAGAGTGGATCAAGAAGCAAGAGCCAACAAAAAGCCATATAGGACAAATACTTTTAACTCAAAATAAATTTAAGTCAAAAGATGGAAAACTATACTCAGTGCAACAGGAACCCAGACAAACAGCAGGGTTAGCTATTCTATTTTGTAGACAGTGAACATTAAGCCAAGACTAATTAAAAGAAATAAAGACAGTCACTATATAGTTGTTAAGAGAAAGCTCCAAAAAGAAGAGTTAACAATCATAAATATGCAGGCACCAAATACTGGTGTAACTAACTATAAAAAACAAATATTAACACACATGAAAAATCAAATAGGCACCAACACAAAAATGATGAGGGACCTTAATAATCCATTGTCACAAACAGACAGATCAACTAAATGAAAAATCCAGAAAGAAATATCACAACTGAATCCAACCTGTGAACGAATGGACTTAGATGTCTACACATTGTTGCAACATGTGACATCAGAATACATATTCTTCTTAGCTACACATGGATAGTCTCTAAAACAGACCATATACTAGCTCATAAAACATGCCTAAGTAAGTTCAAATAAATTGAAATTACCATATGTATATTATCTGACCATAGTGTCATGAAATTAGAAATCAATGGCAAATACTTAACTGGCAGGGAAGATACCATGATATTGAAGGTGGTTTTCCCAGGGTGAGACTTATCCATTGTCCTCTGGATGTGCTGACTTCTGTGATTTCCCAAATGTGAAAAACTTGACTGCATAATTTGTAGCAGTAGGGGACTGTGTTTGCACCTTCTCCTTTAGAAAAAATAAATCAATTGCAAAGGAAACCACAAAAAATATATAAACACCTGAAAATCACATCCTCCTGAACAACCAATGGGTCACAAATGAAATTCAAGTAGAGATTGAACTGTATCTTTAATGAACTAATAATTATGATACAATATACTAGAACTTGTGGGATACAATGAATGCAGTTCTGAGAGGGAAATTTATAATGGTGAATTCTCATATCACAAAAACAGAATGAGCTCAAATAAACTATGTAATGTTAAATCTCACACTTCTAGAAAAGGACAAATAAAATCCAAAACATATACATGGGAGGAAACTGTATAGGTAAGACCAAAAATTAATATACTCGAGACTAAGAAAACAACACAAAGAAGCAATGAATCAAAAAGTTGGGTTTCTACAGACCCAGTCCTAGCCCAGGTCCGGTGAGTGTG